GAGACAACACGATTTGCATGTTCCTGCAGCCTCCCATGGCGCCTGCAAGAACATAGAGGGCTTTCTACAAAGCCGCGGCAGCGGAAATCGCCGCCGCTGTTAATTCGAAACAGAATGAGATGGCCCCGGCCCCGGCCTGGAGCGTGCACAAAGACAGCCTTCTCCTGTTCCCAGGGTGCTGACAGTGCGGGCCACAGTCCATCCTGTGCAGCTGATGTGGGGAACAGCACATCCTTAAATCTCAACACCTGGGCACCGCTCGGGAGACCTCGGCAGAACCTGAGAAGGAAGGTTTGTGCCGGTGACACTTGGGGGATCCCAGGGGGGCTCTGCAGCTGCCTGGCTAAAGGGCTGCTCAAAAGGAGGGGGTTAAAATGAACTTTGGGATCTCTAGGAAGCTCATTTATCAATGTAAACACGGTTTAGCTGTTTAATAAATCTGTGTTCTTTCCTCCTTTTCGTCAGTCGTTGCTATTAGGGCTGATGGGTCCATGATGGGATCAGCTGCTGTTCACAGGGACTGTGTGCCACTGGCCTCATAAAGACGAGCTAAATGCTTTGCTTTATTATATCTATTAAATAATAGCTCAGTTTGGCCTATCTGTGCTTCGAATTCCTCTCTTTATTCCATTGCAGAGCTGCATCTCTTCTAGGGATGGGTGCACTGCTATGGAAAAAGAAGAACTGGCCAAGCCAAACCTCAGCCCAAACACTGACATCAACCCAAACATTTTTGAAGGTCAGTGTTAGTTTGGATAAGTAACCCATCTAGCCAGTTGTAAGTAGGGCTGGTTAGCAAATGGATTTTCCACCTTCCAAAAAATTTGGAGATCGCATCTCTGTTTGTCATCACGGGTTTTGAGAAACTGAAATTTTGATACTCTTTTCCAAAACCGAGACAAATTAATTTAAGAGGCAATTTTAATAACATTGTATCACCTCATTTTTTTTTATTTGGTTTCTTTTTGGTAAATTATAACATGGAGAAGAAAAAATGCCCACAAAATACAGGCAAAGGAGTGGTTCATTTAGAAATCCACCCCCCTCCCAAGCTGGCTGGTGATTCCTAGAGCAGATGGAACTTCATCTCTTGTTCTTTGGGCCACAGGCTGGGACAACCTTGCAGGCCCTCAGCCCTGTGATTTTAACTGGAATAACTTGCCTTTAAGATTGGTTTCCTTTCCCATATTGTGTTTGCTGTAAAAACCAGAGGCATTGGAGCAACAAGTGATTCCACTGAGCAAAATGGCTGTGATTTCATGTGTTTTTATCAGCACAGTGGTTGTCATCCTAAAACACAGGATATTGGCAATTTTTTTAGTATGTTTGCAATAATAATATAAAAGAATGTTCTTCAGCAGGTCTCTCTACACTGACAAATTGAATATGAGACCAAACCAATCACGAGGGCAAATTCAGACACTTCCCTGTCTTTTTCCAAAGTATTATTACTTTATTTTTAATGAGCACTTATTTAGAGACTGAAAAAAAATAACCACAAACGAATGAGACCCCAGCAAGTCAATGCTGAGCTCTGTGTATAAAGGAAACTTCGTGAAATGTGGATCAGGTTAAATAGTTCAATTATTGTCCATTGTTTACATGTTTGAGGAGTGCAACTGTTTGGAATTGTTTAAGTAGTTGGGAAGGTGATCGTAACATTTACCAGCAAATGACATAAATCCAGAATTAATTATAATGGCTTAAAAGGTTAAAAAGAAAGGGGATCATTGGTCCCTTGGTTTATTGTGAATTGTCAGGATAATGGAATTTTAATCAGTGTGTTTATTTTAGGAAGGATTAATTGCATGGCGTGATGCAGAAAATACAGGGACCAACCTTGGAACCTGAGCCCACTGAGTAATTTTATTACAGCAGATCAGTTGTAGCATCTTAATTTCCTCAGACATGTTTATGGGGAGCCATTTGTTTTGTCAAGATTCTTTCCTGGCTGTTCAAGTTGCTGGAAATGAGTGTGTTTGCTGGGTGTCAATCCCATCCCACCTGCCCTGGCCCTGGTAGTGGATTCAGGGCGTTCCCATGGGAAAGGACATCAGGGAGCTCCTCAGGGCTGGGGATTGGACACATGGAAAGATTATCTGGAGGCATAAGGGAGGTTCAGGTTGAAGGGAGGAGAAGTGATGCTCCTTGGGTCCATCTCTCTTGTTTTGTGAGGCTTTATTTTAGCACACCAGTAACACCCCAGCACAGAACCAGCTCACAGAGACAGCCCAGTAACAGCTCCACAACAACTAACTTCAGAAAGGACAGCCTGTCTTGACATTAAATGATTCAAATATCTCCTTCCCCTCTAATTAGAGATTAGGAAAGCAACTGAAAGCAAAGTGAAGGTGTGGCCCAGCCGAAATTTCCACAGGGAGCCTCCCGGGATTCAGCAGATTTGCAGTGAAAATGAAGTTCTTGGTCATTTCCTTGAGCTTCAGAACTTGTAGCTGCTCTGTTTGAAAGACAATTCTTTTTCTAAACATTGGATGTCATTTCCTGGTATCAAATCATAGAAATCACCTAATCATTTATAATGTTCATTGTGTGAATGAGGACCCACAACCCAAAATTTATGGCCAGCCTGAGAAAGCTGAATTTGTTTTAAGAATGAGGCTGGTTTGCCATGTTTTGTAGTTGGATAAACTGGAAATTGAAGAGAATGAGAGAGGGACAGAGAAGCCAAAAGGATCCTGAATTAAATCCCCACAACTCTTAGTGCTTCAGTGACCCCCAGCCCAGGCCTGGTGCTGTTCAGTGCTCTGTGGCACTGCTGCCCACCATTAATATGAATAGAGCTTTGTCCCTCGCTTTTGGAGTTTCCTTCTCACCACAAATGTTTTGGAAAGCAATTAAGTTATTTAAAAAGCAGCCAACATGCCTCCCAGTTAACAGGAGTTAACATTCAAAGGGAGTAACTCTAACAGTGTTATTTTTTGTAAGATCAGCCCTCAGTCAATGGACACTGATACTCGCAGGACACCAAACCCTGTTTTCACTTTAGCATTGCTTTAGCATTCAAAAGCTCTCTATCCTGCCTCAAATTAGCTATTTACAGGTTTTAAAAGCGAGGGAGAAAGAGGCAAAATTGAAACTCGAAGATTAGATTTACATACTTGGAATTTCAGCGCAATCAGGGACGAAGTGGTAAAACCAGAACCAACAACTCACTGTCAGGGTCAGCTTTGTTCTTGTGACCATGTAAGCACAGACACATATTTGGGCATTCCAGGAGTTAAACCCTCATATTCTGCCTTGGGAGAACATCTCTCCCTGTGCTTTTTCTCTGGCATCCCCATGGATGTCTCTGCCCAGACACTGGAAAGGTAAATGTTGTTCTGATCCAGGCTGGGAATTTCTACCATCTTCATCAGAGTTAATTCCAGTTCATCACCTTTGCCACATCATTAGCAGGAGCCTGTTTATCACTGTTCCCCAGAAGTACTGAACCACGATTGAAATCGGTGAAATCCAGTCACGAAATCATGAAATTCAATCACGAAGTCATGAAATTCAATCATGAAACCATGCCTGAAATAATGGCAGATTGAAATCAATGTCCATGAGTTGGACTAAAAAAAAAACCCACCAACTTTATTTTTAAAAAGTATAGCTTCTTAGAAGATATCATCCCTTGTTTCTGCCAGAGTTGCTCAGACAGAGAACACGACACATTTGTCCCAAAACCAGAGAAAACAGAGCTATGGGGAGTTTGGGGTGGAAGGCTGACATTTTCTTCTTCTTTCTCTCTTTAAAATAAAATTATTTGTTTAGTTTGAAAGACAATCCATGGCTGGGCTGGGGATATTGTGCTCTTGTGAGCTAAGGCAGGCAGCTGGCAGGGCCACAGCGAGCAACTGCACCCTTCCAAGAGGAAAAAGGGCTCAGATGACAATATAAGTTACTCCAAACAAATAGTGATGAAATGGAGTGGCAGAGAGTCCTCCACTTGGATCACTAGAATGTTCCATTTATAGTTTCAGGCTTCTCCCAGGTTGTGATTATAAAATGTTGGCTGGCAACTACAGAAAGGAAAGAAAATATCCTCCTGGAGGCAACGAAGCTACATTGTCAAGTGGGGTTTTATTGGTTATCAATAATAAATCATTACTGGGCTAATTTTATTGTAGCCAGAATGTAAAACACAGCCATCAGCAGGGCTGTGGGTTGCTAAACTTACCCTGCAAGCTCCCTTCTCTGCACAGCCCCAGCAAGTCTGTCCTTGTCATGATCTTTGGGGGCCCTTCAGTCAATGATGGTGCTGGACACCAGTTCAGATTTAAACCAAAACACTGCTTTAGACCAGAAAACAGCACATTATGATGAAATGGGACATTTTTTTACACTTTGAGTTATTGCTTCACCCGGGGTGCATTTTGAATGAGGAACCTTGCTGCAAACAACTCCTGCAAAGAGGCTGTAGCTCAGGAAAATGGGATTAAACCATTGAAAAACACTTAGTTCTGACAGTCCTCTTTATTTTAGATCCTTCTGCACTGGAGGGAGCCTGAGGCAGCCAAGCCCTGTCCTCTGAGCCAAGGTGCAGGATGGTGGAAGGAGACACAAACAGCACTTGAAAGGTAAACATTTGAAAGCAGATGTGGCCTGGAGAGCAATGACAAAGCAAATGCTTTGGTTCAAAAACAAAACCAAACAAAAGAGGACAGTCACATTTCTTATTTTGGTCAGAACTGCTGTCCAAGGGGGAGAAGTTTTTGGTAGTGGTCCCTCCAAGTCTGCAAACCAGGCAGGTGGGGTTTAGACAATTTAAAGCCCCAGAAACCTCCCTAAATGCCTGCTCTGGGTGCTGCCAAGGCTGACCCCGAGTTTGGTAGCTCTTGGAAACGATGCATCCCCTTCCTGCAACATGACCATCAGTCAATCTCTGCCAGGCAAACAGCGTGGCTGCTCAGCTGGAAAACCCAGTGTTAACGGAAGAGGAACATCCTGGTGTTATATATGTGGAATATATGGAATATATGGAATACATGGAACACATGGAATACATGGAATACACGGAATACATGGAATACATGGAATACATGGAACACATGGAATACATGGAATATATGGAATACATGGAATACATGGAATACATGGAATATATGGAATACATGGAATACATGGAATACATGGAATATATGGAATACATGGAATATATGGAATACATGGAATACATGGAACACATGGAATATATGGAATACATGGAATATATGGAATATATGGAATACATGGAATACATGGAATATATGGAATACATGGAATACATGGAATACATGGAATATATGGAATACATGGAATATATGGAATACATGGAATATATGGAATACATGGAATACATGGAACACATGGAATATATGGAATACATGGAATATAGGGAATACATGGAATATATGGAATATATGGAATATATGGAATACATGGAACACATGGAATACATGGAACACATGGTACACATGGGCGCTGTGCTCAGCAGTCGGTGGCTGGGGGACCATCCTCTCCCTTCTCCATCCCTCTCCCTGCTCCAAGCTGTTGGCAGCCCTGCCAGCCCAGCCCAGGAGGGGCTGAGTTCCCGTGCCCTGAGCAGGCTGTGGTTTGCTCTCCTTGGCCCCGTTCCCCACAGAGCCCCCGTTACCTGCGGAAACCCAACGGCCCCGTCTGCGCCGGCTCCACGGCCCCTGTGTAGACAAGCGGAGCCAGAGGGCTGATCCCCCGGCCCCAGCACACAGCCCTCCTTTCAGCACCTTCCCCTTACACAAAGACTAACTTATCCCACCTTTTCTTTCCCCCCCCCCACTCTGTCTCTGCTCCCCGTAGCCCTGGCCATGAAAAGCCCTCCACGCGCAGCCCAATAAAAAGTCCTGTGCCACCTCCTCTCCCCCTCCCTTCCCATCCACAACAGCACTGCCAAAAAGGGGGGAAAAAGGAAAAAAAAAAAAGGGGAAAAAAAGGGAGAGTGAAAGCTGGGGCTGGGGGGGGAGAGTTAAACCTGGAACTCATTTAGCAAAAGGGACTTTAGTTAACAAGAAAGTTACCCATCATGAACTGCCAGTAACACCTCGAGTGATCCTAAATCCATTACCCAGAGACTTAGCCCTGGCTGAGTTTGATTTTATGAACTGTGAGGCTGCTATGTTGAAAGTCTGCAAATTGGACATAAATTGGGCTGCAGAAGGCTGGGGAGCTGAAAGGGTTGGGTTTTTTTTTCTGTCTCTGGTGACGTAACAGGCTCTGGCCACGGACGCTCCGGGGAAGAAGCTGTGGATGAAAATCCCAAGGACAGAGGTTGGACAGGGAGGAAAAGCTCAGGAGACGCCGAGCCTGTGATTTTTGGCTGTGCTGCTGCATCACCTGTGTGAGGACGGGCAAGTCACTGCACTTGCTGAGCCTCAGAGGCTCCCTGAGAGCTTTCACTCCCTTTACCCACGTGCTGCCTTCATCACCTCGCCGAGCTTTGTTTTCGTTGCAGTTCAGCCTCCCGAACACTGTGATGCAGAAAAACTCTCATAAAAGGGACTGGATTTGATGAAAGCAGGATGGCAGGGGCGCTGCCTCGATGGGATGCTGCAGCTTTTGCTGCTCTGTTCAACATCAGGGGCTGCTTTGGGGCTGCCAATGCAGCCTCAGGGTGATCACGTTTTCTCGTGTATGATCTGAGCCTCACTCGTGCCTGAGTAACTCGGGCAGCTTTCAAAACACCTCCAAAAAAAGCTCCAAACTGAGTCTCAGGTTATTTTACAACCTCAGATAATTTATCTAAAACCAGAAGATGAGGTGGGGTACAGGTGAATCTGGTGAGGAAGAGAGAAGGCTTCAGGAGGTCAGAGGCAGAGGCAGCAGGGCTCTCCTGATGCTCCAGCACTTTGAACCACCTGTTATTGCTGAAATTCAGAGTTTTGATCGTTTTTTGGGTCATTATTCTGTTTTTGCTATTGTTTAAAGTTCCTGTTACCTGCAGGAGTTGTACTTGCTGTGATGGTCCTTTATAAATTAAGGAAAAGTGAACATGCCATGGCCTTAGAAGCAACATTTGGATCTGGCTTTAAGAGGCCTGTTCCCAGCAGGATTCCTGTATCCATCACATTCCAAAGGACCCTGAGCTGGCTGCAGCAGGAGGGAGATGAGGTTTGGTGCTTGACCTGATGGTTGGTGGCTTCTCCTTTGCCTTCTTCAAACAATGTACCCCCAAGGAAAGGACACACCATCATCAGCTTCCACTCACTGGGGCAGAAGAAATATTTTTTACACATAAATCTGTATGAAAATTTGATTTTTCACCTCAATGGCTGAACTAATATGGTTTTTTGTTATTATTATGACTTGGGTTGAACTGAAGCAAATTGTTTTGTATTCCTCAGTGAAACAGAAAATAGAAACAGAACTCAGAAAGAAAATCCTTTCTCTTCCTCTGATTTAGCCTTTGTTTTACTGCTGGTGTTTTCCAAATGCAGGCAAATTTTGAAACAAAGTTTTGAAAAACGAAAAACCAAGATCATTCTACTAAAGAAGAATCGCTGCAAAGCTGCATTTTTCAATGAAATAAACTATTTCTTGAGCCCATTCCAGCGTTAAAACTTCAGCACAGTTCAGTAAAGTTTGCAAAGCTGTAAAATCAGAGGGTTTCTCTCTAACCTAGAACCACTTTTTATCTGTAAATTCAGCACGTGCACAGGTCCCCTTCTGTGTGGGGAACGTGTGACCACCACACCTGAGCATGAACCTCTGAAAAACGTGATTTAGAAGATCAGTTAATAAAACTCTTGCAAGATTCTATCCCTCTCTTAAGCCCCTCCAGCAGTTGGTGGGTCCCAGCTCTGGACAGTGCTCTGGCCTGACCCTGGGCAGCACAGCAGCACCTCCTCTGTCACTTGATAAGCAAAACCAACACGTGGCTAATTCTCCCAGCAAGGTGGCAACAATTCAGTGTGTGATATGTGAGGGCCAAGCCCAGGCAGCTCGTTTGGGTAATTTCTTACCCTCCTGGCTTCTGCAATGTTTCTTTAGGGGGCACTGAATATGAGTGATTGAGTGAGAGAGAGCCCGGCAGAATTAGCACACACTGGATCTTTTGACCAAGGGGGGAAAAAAAAAAAACAAACCCAAAACAAAACAGTCTAATGTTGGTCCAGGGGCACGTTCCCTTAGGATTTGGGAAAGAAAAACACCGAGGCACGTTAGTTTGGTGCTCCTCGGGCAGAGCAGAGCCTTGAATTAAAACCCATTTCAACAAAATAAAAAGACACTTAATCTTGGATCAAAACTCACCGTGGGAGAGCGGCAGTGCCGCCCAGCCCGGGCTGGGGGGGCTTTTCCAAGGCAAAGTCAACTTGCTGATACCATGCCATGAAATGCTCCTCTGAGGAACTGCTGGCAATTCCCTCCTGGAGTGCCCAGTGGTTTCCCCTCACATGGGCACCTCCTCAGGGTCACCCCGTGGTGTCACCCAGAACTTTCCAGTAGGTTTGTGCAAAGGCTCTGCTCATGTTTGCCATGTAATCCAAACACAGGAAAAATCCCTTTGCTCTTTTCCTATTTTCCCCCTTTCTTTTTTTTTTTTCCCTTTTTGATTAACTCCTGTTTGTCAACCAATGTGTTGTGCTGCCCAAAAGGAAAAGTCCTCTTTTTTTCTCTAAGATAATAAGAGCAAGGAGAAGTGATCCCCAACTTTAACACCAGAGGCTCTGTCTGACAAATCTTCACGTGCCCTTGACTCGAGGTGGTGGCATCTCCCTGGTGTCCCAGCAGACCTGCAGGGACCCCTGAGGCACCTGGTGGTTGGAGGAGCCCCTGGGCTGATTTTAGGGTGAGTCAGACCCAAACACAGAACTTTTAGTGTTGCAACTCTGGATTTCAACCACTGAGGACCTGGATTCACTTTGCTGGATCCATCCCAATTTTTTTATTATTATTATTATTATTATTATTATTATTATTGTTATTGTTGTTGTTGTTATTGTTGTTGTTATTGTTATTGTTATTATTATTGTTATTGTTATTGTTATTATTATGATGTGCAGTTTAAACCTGGGAGCTCTTAGGGCTTAAGGCTGAGCATCCAGGGCTCCTGCTTATCTCAAAGCCACACAAATCATGTGTAGATGTGGCCCCAGGAGCAGCTCCATGGACCCCTAGAGCTTGGAGGAGCAGGATGACCACGATGCTGCTCAAAGCTCTGCATTTTCACGAGGGTGAACAGTGTTTCCCTCAGCTCCACAGCCAAGGTCCTCCTCTCCTGCAAGCTCCAGTTCCTGACTCACTACCAGGAGGGCATAAAAAAGTATTTAAAGGTAATTTATTCTTGCTGAGCAACAATAGCAATAGTTAATCTCTTATATTAAACCCTTTAATGACTTAGGGGACTTATGAAACCATTGGGGCCCGTTTAATGAGTGCCTGCTCTGGCCCACACTTTTCAAAGCTTAAATCTTTAATAGAGCAGAAAAAGAAATTCACAACAATTTGAGGTGGGGGGAGGGGGGCACCGTGCTAAAATTTATGGAGCAGTTTGGTTTCCAGGACTCCTGTTCCTGCTGGGCAGAGCTCTGGGGATGCATTATGGTAACATGTCATCAGGGCCATGGAGCTTCATGATGCATTACAGCAATAAGTCGTTTCTAATACATCACCAGAGCAGCTGCTGGCCCGGACTGGGAGCCAAACAAAAATTAGGCAAGGAGTCCCACGTACACCAAAGATGCTTTTTTCCCTTCTCCCTTTCCTTGCCTTTCTCCAGGTCCTTCTCTCCCCACCTCCCCCTGCCCACAGAGGTTTGCCGGGGATTTATTCATTGCGGCTCCTCCGTGGAAATTCCTTTCTGGTGGAACCAATCGAGGACAATGCTCTGCTCCCCAGGAGCACACCCTGAGGAAGATGAGGGTGACTGCAGGAATTAGATGTGTAATCCCTTCAGACTGGGAGCCCAGGTCTGACAGGGACCAGCACCACGTGTTTGAGGGGGGACAGCTCACCATGGCAAGTCGTGGGTGCAGGGCCCTGGAGACCCTGTTTTCTATTCTTAATCAAGAGTTGGTAGTTAAGCCCCAGTTTAATTGCACTCCCTTCCTAGTTCTCAAGTTTTTGTTCAGCTAATGATATTAGCAATTCTCACTAACTCCTGGAAGCATCCAAAGCAGCTTCATAAACTGGGGTAGGCTCTCAGCCAGTGTAGTGACTGACCTCAGGAGGCTTTAGCAAAAGGCTCCATCACCTTCCTCCCCTTTGCTCAAAAGCTGAACAGGTTCTGGTGCCAGAGCACAGGTCAGGGAAGCAGTTACTGCAATGTCCAGGTAGGAGCATTGTAGCATCTCCATCTCAATAATCTCACTGCCACCTTTCCAAGCTTCTTCTGTCTCTTCTGCTTGGCTTGGCCCTTTACACATGTGGCAAACAGACCTCTGGAACCTCATCAAATGCACTGAAGACCCCTTTTTCTTCAGCCTCGAAAACTCACTTCACTCTGTTCTTCTCCTGCTGGTTTCTCCAGAGGGAATCCCAGGTGAAAAGTTTCAGACCTGACTTTCCCTGATTCCCAAGGTGCTCAGGCTCGGCAGAACGACCAGGGAGATGTTTCCATATGGGACAGAGGGGAAGGCTCTGATCTTCAGTGGGGGTTGGCTCAGGAGACAACAAAATGTTCAGTGGGGAAGCTCTGGATGCACTGGCCATGCACACACACTGCAGAGTTTG